GTTACCCGAACCCACGAACACCTAGTCTGCCCTTTTCCCGGCGCCATCCCTCGCCTCCAGGCCCCTCCCCGGCCTCGTCGACCTCCCCCACCTGGCATTGTTGACCGTCCAGACCATCACGCCGATGCCCCTCCGGTGAGCGTCCTCCAAAAAGGACGGCAGCACGCATCCGTCCCCGATGGAGCACCAGTGCACACCCAAGGCCGCGTACTCCTTGGCGAAGGAGATGGGCACCCCGTCCACGATGATGCAGGTCTGCAAGGCCGCGAGGGTGGCCGGGTAGGCGAGCCGGTGAGCGTTCACCTCGATCATGTCATACTGATTGAAGCTTGCGACCAGCAGCCGCGAGGGCGCCCATCCTTTCTGAGCGATGGCCTCGTGCAAGAGGCGCAAGAGCGGCGCGACGACCCTGTCCGTCTTGATGTCCAGGTAGAGCGAGACGCCCGAGGCCCGCAGGTCGGCGAGCACCCGCGCCAGGGGCTCCACCGCGGGATCGACACGCTTGATCTGGGCCAGGGCCAGGTTCTCGAGGAGGCGGCCGTCGGGAAGGTACCGGTCGTGGTGGACGATCACCTCTCCGCTCCGGTCTAAGCACACGTCCAGTTCGATCATGTCTGCGCCGAGGGCCACGGCCCGCTGGAAGGAGGCCAGCGAGTTCCCTTTCACGTGCCCGCTCGCCCCACGGTGGCCCACGCTCAGAGGACGGGGCACAAGGCGGGGCGGTGTCTGGAGAAGGTGGGGATGCCTGCGGAATCGAGAGGGGTCATGGGTCCAGCCCGCGAGGTCGGTGTCCTCTCCCACGTCAGAGTCATCTTCGTCTCCATCGGCCGAGGGCGGCTGTGGCGGGCCACAGACGTCGGATGCCGTTTCGAGTCGGAGGCGTGATGCATGCAGTTCCACGGTCAATCGTTTCGAGACGGGCTCCCAAATATTTTCGGCATGGAAACGAACCAGATGCCCCTAAGTTGAGGGATTCAGAGTGCATTTGGTATGTACTCGTGCCCCCGATTTAAAGCCTTACATTCGCCTGGATTACCCCCTACAGGGATCTCAAATGCTTCTTTAAATAATCTTCACAAAGAGACACGCGCATATCCATCCCAGTGGTGGTTTCACATCTTTTCTCATGCTTTCTCGGAAAAGATGATTCGTACTTAGAAGAAATATTCCGCATGGAAGCGTAATTTTCACAGATCCTGAAAGGCAAATTTTCATACAAAAATTTACATGGCACGTTTAAGAATACTTTTTTACGCTGGGAGGCTATCTATCGTTCTAAATGTTGTCCTTACCTTGCTACAACATCGCAGGGCCAGGAGTGAGGACGTCGGCAAGAGCGAGTAAAGCAAACCCATCAATTTGGGCGGCATCCAGTCCAATTTTCCGAGGAACTTCGATGGTTGCACGTTTTTCTCGAAGTCACAAATCATGGCACTGACGCTCACAGCACATTGCTCGTCCTGGACTTTGCCGGGTCCCATATTTGAAAAATCTGTGCCCCCCCGGACCTTGGCTGGCAACTTTATTCCGTGTTGACGCGCCCGCACCTCTTGTGGTATTGTCCATAGCGTTCTATCATCCTTTCGTCCTGCAGTTTCAAAATAAGGGGTAGGTATGAATGAGACGTTCTGAGGATGGGTTAAATATGCCAGTGGGCGGGGATTTGTCCACGCGAGTCGAGTGACTTGAGGCGTCGTGCATGCATCGAATTGAAGTACCGAGCGTACGTCACATAAACCTGAGGGCGAAGACAGACCAAAAGCGGATTAAGAAGCTTTCCGACCAGCAAAGTGAGTTAAGAATGCAGCAGATACTAGGAGAGATACGGTAGCCTTCGTTTCAGGCCCGATTCCGGGTACTGGTATGAGTCGTATGCATTGTGCAAGCACGTCTTCAGCGAGATCTTAGTCGCAGGAACCGGCTACTCGAGCGAGAAAGAAATAACATGATTCGGACGAACGGAATCTATTCTTTCTTTCTCATGGCAATTTTAAAACCAAAATAAGAAAAAAACTTCACCACCCATATTTGCCCTGGGTCTGGGCTTTACTTTGCATGCTGCGCGCCTTCCCTTCCAAGAGATCCGCCTCCCGCTCAGCTGCTTGTATTGCCAACGTATTTATCTGATGTCTTCTTTTGTGCGTTCGAGAAGCCTCTGTGGTCGTGACCGTTTCTCCAGTTTTTGTATCGTAAAAGGTAGCGGCAATTGAGACCTTCTCCTTCTTTTTGGGAGGGCCATACCGGTACGGATCCCAGCTTTCCTCCCGACGCGCCACCTCTACGACCTGTCCTCCGAGCTTGCTGACAGCGGACAAATTCCCTGCCGCCAACTCTCTCTGTAAGCGCTGTTTTTGCCTCCGAGAACCCTGCTCTGAAAGAGGTACTTCAAAATCGTCCTCCTGCGCATGAGGCTGCAGACAGGAACCCAAACTCATCTGCAGCGGGGGTTGTCGTGACGCCTCGGCGGCGTAGTAGGCATCCAACTCTGCTCGGTGCGCCCTCATTGCCCGTTCATTCTCCTGTCCCTGCCAAAGCCCTCCATAGGAGGCGTAAGCTTGCGGCTCTCTCGACCCAACGGACTCCCCGAGGCCCGAGGTCGCCGCGCCATGACCCATAGTCCCTGTCGAACCAGAAGCAGGGAGCTCAGACGACGCTGCCACACTGAGGCTAGTGGACGGCTGCCTTATCTCTGCTCCCACCGCAGCCGCCGGTGCTGTCGGCGCCGGGATGGCTAGGCCGCGCATTCCCTGAGAGATGGATACGCGGGGAAGAGCGGCGGCTGTGGCGCCTGCCATGAGGGAGGAGTGGAGAAGCCCGAGCCCTTCCTCTTCCTCCTCCTCCTCCTCCTCCTCCTCCTCCTCCTTCTCCTCCTCCGCCCCATCGCTCTCACTCGATGCTCCCTGGTCGCCCCCCTCCTCTTTCTTGTCCGACGCAGCCCCCATGACAGCGACTGCATCCGCCTCCATATTCGCCCCCTTATCTTTCTTCTTCTCCGCGGCCGAGTCACCACTCTTCTTCAACGCTTTCTCCATTGCCTTCTCCACTTTGGGCTTCGGAAGGAGAGCAAATAGCCCCGTAGCGCCGGCGGCCTGCCTCTTCGCGACGGCTTTGCTTTCTGCCACCTGTTCACGGATTCTGCGACGTCGTTCCAGCTCCTACACATGATGAAAATGAAAAAGACGAGGTTGTAGCGATAAGGGGTACCGGGGACTGGAGAGTATGGGAGCGAATTGCTACTCTACTGCGAGGGATTGGCCATCGTCGTTTCAATCTCTCTCCTCGCCCACATTTGACAAAGCCAGTGCACCATTTACCCTACGTAGCAGGACACGCTCCAATACTTCATTAGTCAAATATGCAAAGGGCCGCACGTGACAGACCAGGAGCAACGCGATCGCATCCCTCTCGCCTCTCCTACCTACCTCTTCATCGAGTTCCTTCCTCTCCACCTCATCCGCATAGTCATTTTCGTCATCCTCGTCATCAGAGACGCCTGTCACTGGTCCCTCTTTCTGGCCTGTGCTCCGTCGCAAGGGCGCTGCCCTCATCAGAGCGGCCTGAATATGGGACGGGAGGATGGACACAGCCACCTTGACCTTTCTTTTCTTCCTCCTATGCTTTTCTCCCTGTCCAGAGTCAGCAGTACTGATCGAGTCGGAGCCAGGCGCGTTCCCCGCCGTGGTTCCTGAGACCGACAAAGTAGTAGCAGGAGAGACAGGAGGGTCGGGCCGGGGTGCAGGAGGGGCAAAAGGACGGTCTTCTTCCGAGTCACTTCCATAGTCCACGCCCAGCAAGGACATACCTGCTTTAACAAATTGTGCGCGCAGGATAAGAAAAATTTGAGGTGAATGTAAAAAACGACGAGGCAGAATAGGGCGTCGACTCGCACAAAATGAGTCTCCCCACCTAGCTGGGAATGCCGCTCAAAAGGAATCGATGAAATTTTCGTCCCTCTTATGGTTACCGCCTGTCTCTCGTGTGATTCGACACAATTTTTATCGCATCGAATGCAACCACAGGATTCCTCGTTAGCCTTAGCCTGCGCGCATGGATCCACCAAGATCTTCAGACAGTGTACGTTCGAGTGTAAGCAACAATCCCCCTCCAGACACTCCACCCAGGCAGAGGTCTAGTCGGATTTTATCATGATTTTCCGTGCGCTTATTTGTTTGCACTTCTATTTTCCCACCACAACTATGAGACAGCATTCCCTCAAGAGTCCTTTGCTCCTTGATCACAGAGCGCCCCAAGCTATCTCCCCCTCCGCCCCGCCGGCTCCCTCAGTCTCAGAGGACTCCCCACAACGCCTCTATCCTCCCATGCCAGAGCCTGACTCACCTTTCCTCTCCCCTTCCTCCCGCTTCTTGGCCGCTGACGCGACGAGTGACGGGGCGCGTTGGGCGGGTGCACCGGCTCCGAGCTGGCGGACCGAGACGGCAGGGTCCCCGGCACACCGCCTCCAAAACGTCCCTTCGGCCCCCTCTGCGAGCGCAGGCAACACCCGCAGCCACGACCCCGCCATTTCTTCCTTGAGGCCGTCGTCTGAGTTCCTCCGTCAAGCGCAAGCGCTGGCTATGCGGCGCGTTACTGAGGAGAACTTACGCGCAGAAGAGGCATCTCGCCAAGGGTGGCAGCGCAACGTCCTGGACCATGCGACCCTGCGGGCGGCGGAGGCGGCCGCAGCCGCGAGACGATCTCGCCCGGGGCTGCAGGAGAGCGAAGGTCTGCAGGTGGATCCGTCCACGCACGACGGGGCGCCATGTTTGACGGAGCTATTGGAAGCTGGCAAGAAGAGGGAGGGAGGGAGGGAGGGAGGCCGGGACGGGGGTAAAGAGGGAGGGCACCATGACGGGTATAAAATGGCGGAGTACGACATCAAGGAAGGGTACCAAATCAGTGAATACCGAAGTATATACGACTCATGAGGCATACAGGAAAGCATAGACTCTCGAGAAAGCAAGGATGACCGCGACGCAGAGGCTGTGAAATAGTGGGTACTGAAGCGTGCTTGCATGTATAAAGAAAAACAGGATCAGGAGGGGAGCAACTTATGACAAAATGTACGTTTTTTTGCTTTTCTGGCTTACCAGCATCGCGATCGCTCTTTCACATGCTGAGATAGTGAAGTCACGCCCAAACTTACTGCCGATGCAGTCCCCATCCTCCCGAGCGGCATGCCTTACAGCCTTCTTCCCTTCCATCCATTCACATCCCTCCATACCCTCCTCTTTCGTACATATCTAGGCCCCGCGCGAGCCCTGGTCCTCGATGGAACAGCCACACATCACGCCGCCTTCCTCCCGCTCATTTTGTTCTCTAGCCGCTAGGCAGCCAAGTTGGGGAAGCACTTCGCCAGCGTGTCCTTCGGGTGCTTGCCGGACGCGTGTGCCTCTAGCTCGGGCCGCTTCGCCGTGCACATGAAGGTCGCCTGTAGCGGGCACGGAGGGGGGCGACATCAGTGGAACGAGAAATTAAGCATTTAAGGGGATTGAGAAATCTCGAGTCCCTTGGCATCATCCACAGAGCCTCAGACGCAACATCGAACACGGCCCATCCTGACGACACAGGTTCTTTTTTAAACTGCGAGAGTCATCAGTCATACAATACGCCCCTATCTCCCATCCCCCCGGGGAGCCACAAATTTCCCGACCATTGCTCAACACCCAGCTTCTTACCCGACAGATCATGCACATTTGACTCATCATCTTCTCCTTCTCTTTCAGGATGGACTTTGCCTCCGGGCCTTTGGCTTTGGCATTCCGCTCCCGCTTGGATGCAGACTTGGCCCCGTTGCCACCACCCATGCTAGCAGCACAACCTAGGGATATGTGGTTAAATGTGTGAGGAAATAGATTGTCACTCTCTGCAAAATGTGTTTACGGTCTTTTTTCAAGTGTATAGTCGACGTTTTCAACCTCATACAAGTGACCAGCCGGCGGCTCAGCAGCCTACGATTGCAAAGCTTCTCTCAAAGATCTTGAATTAAAGTCTGACATACCTTAACATCCAGGCAGACCGCACGCCTTAGTACCGTCTCATAACGTAGACACAAAAAGGTCTCTAGAGGTGAACTCGTTTAGCGCGCGGAGGGACCGAATTCGATCTCGACAGAGTGTGCGGCCCGCCTTTCCTCCCTGCGCAGGCGCGGCGACTCGGGGGGCATCCACCTCCGAGGCCGGCGTAGCGGCAAACACGAAGCACAAGGACGAAAATACTACAAGAAATGCTTACATCTGTACTTTTTCGTCGAGTACGGCAAGATCTATGCTATTCCTAGCCTTTTGCAAGACGTTGAGTCTTGACTTTTTTTTCGATGGAAAAAGTGCAAGCGTTTCAGCTTAGACATGCCCACACGTCCCAGCCCTTTTCTGATCAGCAATAGCAGCACCACCCCTCAATCGTTCCTGCATGCGATATTTTTATCCAAACATGCAGGAAAAGACACCTACCAATCAATCTGTAAAAGTTGAATTCTGGACAGGGATCGCCAAGCAAACCGACCATCCATCCGGGTATAGACAAGTCTCTCAACTGTATGATAAGTACAGATCTCAAGCCAATACTTCTCTTTCTTTATTGAGGGCCTGAGCTCAGTTCAAGAAGCCATTCGGTGTACCTTTTTATCCGGTAAAGATGAAAATACCTTCAAACAGCCTGTTGGTGTGCCTTCCCGCCTGGGAATAGTTCTTTTTTGGCGTTGCTATCGCAACTATATTTTCTACACTTCGAATTTTATACCACAAATTCTTATCCTCCTAATTTGCCAATGACCGTTCCATGTTACCATCAATATATTTAGATTGATACAAAGCATCAAAAATACGGCAAGCAAAACAAAAACGACAATATCTTGCTTTCATAGCTACTGATCAGGCATGCCGGTAAAAAAGCATTACGTAGCCGTCCTTTCCTCCATTGATGCAGAATTTTCACATTTTGAGTCAAAGTGAAGTGCGGTGTATACTTTAGGATTGAAGGTATTTTTCATATACTCGAGAGGATATTGTGTGAAAGAAAGCTTCATGGAAGTATTTGATAGGGAACAGGAGATGCGGAGCAGGACAGGCGGATATATTGAGACGTTCCGCTTCCGCTTCTGCCTTTATAGGCATCCAAATCAGTGACCGCACATAATTATCAGCCGACATTGTATAGTCATTTTTGAGACTCTGGTCTAGGAGCAAAAGGGAGGGCCTCAGTCACGTGGTGGTCAACATGCAGATACAAAAGGTAGACATTGTCCGCACATGGGCCCCGCCTGCGCGCCATCCCCTTCGGGGCTCCCCCTAAGGTTATTGCGGTCTTGGCACGGCCGACGTAGGCCCACTCGAGGCGCACGTGGACGGACTCGCACCCAGACATATCTTGTCTGAGCTGATGCGCGAACATGCTCGACATAGGCCGTGCAAACTTGGCCTCACATGCAACTTCTTCCTTTTTTTTTGGTGGTTTTTCCGGTTCGCCAACTTATCCTAAAACTCGCCTACTGCGCCTAATGAAATCCTGCACTTAACACAACAGACCATCAACAGGCGCGATGACAATGGAGCAAGTGCGAAAGGAGCTCTTATCTTCGCTGTCTAAAAAGGTAGGAAGCGTCGGAAATTTTGCAAAGTGTTGTTTTCTCCGGGTGGCCGTCTCATTGTTGAGGCTTCCTCATTGCACAGGACGACGCCTGGGCTCGGACGTTGCTCAACTTGGTGGCACGAAACGCGGCGAAAAATGATGATTTCGCACTGGAAGACTTTCTTCAGA